GCTCGCTTTTCTTCTCCAATAATGGTGTTGTCGGCTCCTCATAATTTTCCTCACTTTTTTTTTTTTTTTGGCTGATTTCAAAAGGTAGCAGTTGTTGCTAATTAAAACCCTAGCCACCTCACGTGGCTAGCACATGGGCCAATAAAAAAATGCCCTTTTAGTGGGTTGTTTGGCTTACAACTAAAGGCCCACAATAATTTTGTTACATATTCAACAATCTCTACCACCAAATTCTGAAAGTGCCATGATGAGTCAAACCAATCAACATATAACCACTCCCGAAAGCTAGCAAGAGAATAACTCATGCTGAGCCAAATGCTCCAAAACTCTTATTGCTTAACACCATCTTTATATAGGCAGAATGTGAGCCAAGTTCAAACAATGAACAAACCTGGCTACACCAACAATCTTCGTTAACATATCAGGGGGGTTGTCTTTAGTTGGAATCTTCTGGAGAATGATCTTCCCTTTACCAACGACTTCAAGCCAAAGTTGTAATGCACATCTATGTGCTTAGTCTTCGCATGATGAACCTGATACTTAGCAAAATAAATGGCATTCTGACTATCACAATGCACCTCCACCTACTTCTGATCAACCCCCAAGTCTCTAATATGTCCATGTATTCAAATGGCCTCCTATATAGTTTCAACAACTACCATATATTCAGCTTCTGTAGTAGACAAAACAATAGATGATTGTAATAGACCTCCAACAAACTGCCCTTTAGTCATAGTAAACACATAGCATGTAGTAGACTTTCTTATATCCAAGTCACCTGCATAATCAGAATCAAAATAACCAACTGCAAAGTTGCCAATACATCCTTCTCAAAGTATAAACCAACATCTCGAGTACCATAGAGATACCTCAATATCCACTTAGCTGCATGCCAATGCTTTTTACCAAAATTATGCATATATCGATTCGCCATACCAACTGCATGAGCAATGTCCTGTCTAGAGCATACCATTGCATACATCAAACTACTAACCAAATTTGCATATGCTATATTTTTCATTTGTAGCTTCTCTTTATCAGTTTTAGGACATTGTAAAGAACTCAATTTAAAATGAGGAGCCAAAGGAGTACTAACCGGTGTGGTTGAATCATGAACTCCAAATTTCCAAATCAACTTCTCAAGGTATTGCTTTTGATCCAAGCACACCAAACTTTTTGCTCTATCTCTAGTGATCTCCATGACAAGGATCTTCTTCGCTTCACCAAGATCCTTCATCTCGAACTCATTCTTCATTACCTTCTTCAATTTCTCAATCTCCTCGACATTCTTTTAGGCAATCAACATATTATCAACATATATTAACAAACAAATGAAAGACTCTTCTTGCAACTTCTTGAAGTACACACAATGATCATATTGACTTCTAGAATAATTTTGTTCTCTCTTAAATTTATCTGACCTCAAATACCATTGTCTTGGAGACTGCTTCAAGCCATAAAGTGATTTCTTCAACTTGCAAAACAAATTCTCCTTCCTTTCACTTTGTACCCATCCAGTTAAAAACATATAGATCTCTTCATGCAAATCACCATGTAGGAAAGCCGTCTTTACATCAAGTTGCACAAGCTCAAGATCATATTGTGTAACAAGAGCTAACATAATAGGAATTGAAGAGTGCTTCACAACCAGAGAAAAGATTTCATTGTAGTTAATCCCTTCCTTTTGTGCATACCCTTTAGCAATTAGTCTTGTTTTGGATCTCACATTGCTTTTCTTATCAATACCTTCCTTCTTGCCATACACTCATTTGCAACTGATAACTTTCTTACCCTTGGGCAATTTAGCTAATTCCTAAGTCTTGTTTTTCAAGAGAGAATTCATCTTGTCACCCATGGCATTGCATCACTTCTTCTTTTCTTCACTCTCAATGGCTTCCTCAAAATTGGATGGAATCTCATCAGTGCTAATGGGAAGAGCAAAAGCAACATAATCACTATACCGAGTTGGCTTGTTAATATTTCTCCTTCCTTTGTTCTTGGCAATAGACTCTTGAGGTGAAACTTGCTCTTCATCTTGAAAAGAGCATTCAACTTCAACATCTTCAACATCCTTTTGACCTCCTACTTCTTCACTTGTAGTGGCTTTAACATCAGCGGAATAGGATATGAAGTACTAGAGGCAACTTTCTCAAGCTCCACCTGTTGGACATCTTTCACATTCTTCTCAGCGTCTCTAAGCATACTTTCTTTGTCAAATGTCACATCTCTATTGATTACAAGTTTCTTCATGGATAGGCATCATAACCTGTAATCTTTGACACCATTACTAAAACCAAGAAAGATATTCTTTTTGGCTCTAGGATCAATTATTTTCAGTTACATGAAAAGGTGAACCAAAAATATGAATATAACCATAGTTAGAGGATGTTTTCCAATCCATAGCTCCATTGGTATTTTACCCTGAACAACACTTGAGGGTAACCATGATGTGACATGCATAAGTAACTATCTTTGCCCAAAACGACTTGCTCAAACCTGACTGAGACAACATACATCTAACCTTCTCAAGCAAGGTTTGATTTAATCTTTCTGTAACTCCATTTTGCTGTGGAGTTCCCCTGACACTGAAATGCCTCACAATCTCTTCCTTTTTGCAAACTTTAAGGAAATGAACAGATATTTGTTCTCCACCATTATTTGATCTCAAAATCTTAATTTTCCCCCCAGTCTGGTTCTCAACCTTTTTCTTCCAACCTAAGAAAAATTCTCAACACCTCATTTTTGTGCTTCATAGTGTAGACCTAAGACCTTCTAGAATAATCATCAAAGGTCATGAACCAATGTCTAGGGAGTCTTTGTAGGACCCTAAATATTTGAATGCACATAATCAAGAATGTCCTTTGTCTGATGTACTACAGTACCGAATCTCATTCTAGTTTGCTTCCTCAAGACACAATGCTAACATAAATCAAGCTTACAAGTTGAGAAAAGCTTGAGCCTTTCTTGCTCTTCCGCACCTCTGTTCATCGAACTTGTCATCTCCTGAATAAATCAGTTGTCCTTTTCTTTTCCTTGTTATGTTTCCATTTCCTTTTCCCTAACCGAAAATGGCTTAAAGTTCATTTATCGACAACATTAGAAGAGAAAAACACAAAAACTCTTCAATTATCTGCACGCCACTTTAGACATTAAACACACATTGATTAATTTTTTCATTTGACAATGTCTTCTCTTGTACCTTTGGTCTACTTGAGGCTAATTACCGCAATGTTCCCTTCTTTAATTATCCACTGTTCTCATTCTGGGACAATACTTAGGTACTGAATAGTCAGTACCCAAAATAATAGCCACATGAAGTGGCCCAATGAGAACAAAACATTTGTTACAATTTTAATTTATAAACGTGTAACCAAACACAATATTAACCTCACATCCAAACATCCCCTTTCTTTCTCAACGCCTGGCTCTTCAAGCCTCACTACTCGCTTTTTGCCATGGTTTGAGCACTAGAAACCTTGTCTTCTCCAACGGTTCCGATAACCTTGTCTCTTCCATCGGTGCCACCCACTTCTCCTCCAAACTTTCTCTGTCGACGACCCCGCCCCAAAATCCTCATATTCTTTATCGTGGAAGCCATGGCAGCACTCCGTCGTCGTCGGACTTCTCCGTCATGGAATTCACAGCAATATAGAAGCCCAAATTCCCCCAAATAATTTCAACCTCCTTCGTGATTTTTCTTCTAAATGAAATTTCCTTCATAAGGTTAATTAGTAAGATGGATATGATCTGTCATGGGTTGTGAAATTTGGGGGTGGAGCAGCCATGACTTCGGGAGAAAGGGGAGGGAGGTGGTTGATGGAGGTATGGCAGCACTACTCTCGTCATAACCACCATCTCCACCAACATTGCCATTATCTTATACATTACAAAGATATTACTATCAAACAAAATACTATCACGTTTTAATATTTTCTTTATAAAAAAAATCATTATTAAATTAATCTAACATATACATTATCTAATTATAAAAATGTAAAATTGTATTTGTCTTTGAGAACCCAATACGCGGACTTGCTTATGTGGTTCTTTCAACACACAACCAAACACCTTTTAAACAAACAACCAAACAGCTCCTTTGTTCCTCCCTGTAACTTTTTCACCCTTTTTCCTCCATCTCCCTTCGTCTAGGACCAATCACAATGGCTGCCATTATCATACTTGTAAATAAATAAAAAATTGAATTCTCTTCAAGATGAACAAAATCAGACACTCTGCAGCCCCCTAGCTCTGCTCGACCTTTCAGAGCGAGGTTATCTCTGTTCCTAACCTCGCGTTGCTCGAGCTCACGGCTGCCTGGATTTCGCAATTGATGGCCTCAGATTTCTTTCGTAAACTAGAGCTCGTCATGAGCCTCTGGAACTCGTCGAGCCTTGGCAGAGTTAACTCGCTCAGCTCCTGAGAATCGGGGGTCAACTCCATCATACCATCTAAATCAGTAGCTCTGTGGTACAAACTTCAATTGGTGGTCTTCAACGAACAAATTGTTCTATATTTCGTGAAATTCAGATATGGGGGGCTTTGAGTGTGCAGATACGGTGTTTGTTAAAATGTCTCAGTGAAATTCAAAGCAGATTATATATGTTTTTCATAGTTTTTAAGATTTGAAAACAGTTGCTAAATTCCGTGCCAAGCAAGTTTTTTTAGTATAATAATTGTATGTGAAAACTTGTTCATGGTCTCGACTTCTACTTTGCAAGTGTGGAATAACCTTCTTTTTGCTTTTACTATGCAGATTTCTCCAAAAGCAAAAAAAAAAAACCACAAGATTTGCATACTGCTCTGTTTTTTCTTGAAGCATAGCCTTGATCATGAGCTAAGGTATGACCTATTGTTTGATTTTTTTTATTTTTTTTAATTTCATCTGCTTTGAAAATAAAGGATTCCTTTCTCGTATCTTGAATTTTTTATTTATTTTGGATTCGTATATATTCAACAGATCGGAGAAGCAGACGAATTGGTAAGTTGAAGGTGCCGTGGCGATGGAGATACTCACTGCAATTATTCCTACAATAATTGACTACACAATTAGACCAGTTGCACGCCAAGTGGGTTATATCATTTTCTACAAATGCAACCTTGAAGATCTAAAGAGTGCACGGGAGAAATTTGATGCTGTCAAACAAAGGATGAAGCATAAGGTTGAAGACGTCGAAAGAAAAGTTAATCAAAAAGTGGATGCTGATGTCCGGAACTGGCAGACAGAAGCAGATGAGATCTCTCGAGAGGCAGATGCATTATTGGATGATGTAGGCCCTGCAAAGACAAAGTGTCTCTATATATGTCCTAACCTGATATCCTATCATCAGCTCAGCAGAAAATCAACTAAATTGGTGAGAAAGATTGAAGAACATGAAAATAAAAAAGAGTTTCCCAGTATTTCTTACAATGTTGCCGTGGAAGACATATCTGCCATAGCCTCCGACGAGTACATGGCCTTCGAATCAAGGACTTCAATGGTGAAGGAAATCATTACGGAACTGAAAAAACCTGATATCAACAAGATTGGTGTGTACGGATTACGGGGCGTTGGGAAGACAACACTTGCCAAAGAGGTTTACAGAGAAGCTGTGAAAGAGAAGTTATTTGATGATGTGGTTATAATACTAAATGTCAAAGAAAAAAAAGACAACGAAGAAATTCAAAAAGAAATTGCTGAAAAGTTTGATAAGGACGTTGATGAATCTCTGAAAATAGGAACAAGGGCGAATCTCCTATGGGCCAAGATAAAAGATAGGAAGACTCTTATCATTTTAGATGATGTTTTGGGAATAATTGACTTCGAGGCTGTGGGACTTGTTGGTGTGCCGACTTGTAATTTATTGTTGTTAACATCTGGAGATCAAACAGTTCTCTCTGGGATGGGCATGCAAAAGTGTTTCCAACTTGGCATTTTAAGTGAAGAAGAAACTTGGAGGTTGTTTGAGAAGATGGCAGGTGACGTGGTTAAAGACAACCGTATACGGAAAGTAGCAACCCAACTAGCAAGAAGATGTGGAGGTTTGCCGGTTTTAGTTGTTACAGTTGCAAGGGCTTTAAGAGAAGATAGTTGTTTAGAGGTATGGAAAGATGCCTTGAGGCGCTTCAAAAGCTTTGACAAGGACGGACCAGCAGAAAAAGCAAAATTGGCTATAGAGTGGAGTTACAATCGGTTGAAGGGTGATGAGCTTAGGCCATTATTCTTGCTATGTGGAGTTATTGCAGGGGGGAGCTGTAGTATTTCTCTCAGTGACTTGTTCAAGTATAGTATGGGTTTGGGTTTGATAAAAAATGTTGATACAGTGGAAGATGCACGGAATTCATTGCATGCACTGGCTGCAAAACTAAAAAATTCTTGCCTATTGCTGGATAGTTACAACGATAATATTGTTAGAATGCACGAGCTTGTTCGAGATGTTGCTATCTGGGTTGCATGTGATGATAATAAGGTCTTTTCAAAAGCATATGGAGATGAGGTGAAAGAATGGCCCGCTGAGGATTTATTTAAGAAGTACACTATGATCTCCTTAATATCTTGCAAAATCCCCAGACTTCCTGAAGTACCTTGGGAATGCCCAGAATTAAAATTGTTGGTCTTGGAGAATGATGATATTGGCGACACCGAGGAAATCCCAAGCAAATTTTTTGACGGGATGAAAGAACTCAAAGTGTTGGATGTCAGCGGAATCCGTATTCCGTCGCTACCTCCGTCTCTTCTATCCCTAAAGCATCTCCAGACATTGTGTTTAGATCGGTGCGAGTTGGTAGACATAACTCTTGTTGGACAGCTAACAAACTTGAAAATTCTTAGCCTCCTAAAGTCCAAGATTAAAGAGTTGCCCAAAGAAATAGGGCAATTGACTCGGCTACAATTATTGGATTTGACCGGTTGCTCTGAACTTGTTCTGATCTTGCCTGGCGTTATATCAAGCTTGACAAAACTAGAAGACTTGAGGGTGGGACTAAAAAGCTTCAAGCGATGGGAGGGTGAAGGTCCCACTAGCGGAGGCAGTAATGCTACTATTTCGGAGCTGAAGCACTTGGCTGAACTAACTGCATTAGACATACATGTTCCAGATGCTAACCTTCTTCCGGCCAACTTGTTCTCCGATAAGTTAGAAAGATACACCATACTTATTGGTAATTGTTGGGAGTATCCTAACACGTACGAAACCTCCTCTAACATGCTAAAACTCAAGCTCACCAGGAAAAATCAATTCGACCGAGGTATAAAGTTGCTGGTAAAGAGATGTGAGCAATTGTACTTGGATGGGAAGGAGAGTGGGAATATTATTTCCTTTCTATTTGACAGTGATGCTGTGAAACAACTGAAGTGTCTCCATGTCCAAAACAACAACGAAGTTACATATGTCATTAACTCCATCGATTGGAGTTACTCTCAGAATGCCTTCCCCAACCTAGAATCTCTATGTCTTGAAGATCTTGTGAGGTTGGAAAGTGTATGTTATGGGCAACTCGAAGATGAGCCATTTCAAAAGTTAAAATCTTTGACACTGTGGAATCTACCAAAACTTATTGGTTTCTCTTCCAATTACAAGAAATTAACGACTGACACAGAAGCCGACGAAATCGTGTTGGAGGATGAAATTGGTGGACCACCTAAACTTTTCAATAATGAGAAGGTACTTTCTCTGCTATTTCGATCATATAATTCTTTCGTTTTTTTCAATAAGTCAAAACCATTTAAATGATTTATTAAGTTATCAGATTTTGATAACCCACAGTTTTTTATTTTTATTTTTTATTTTTAGGATTTGATAACTCATGATATTCAACTTGATATTAAAATAAAGGAAAAAAAATAAAAACAGCAGAGCGTAGCTCAGCGTACTGGGTACCTTTCCCATTCCCCTTCCTTCCCAACGCCACCATTCCCTCACGGACCACCACCTCTTAAAGCACAGCGGCAGCATCTCCCTTGATGACGTCATCGAGATCGCCAAGGTTATGAGGAACAGATCCATGGCCGGAGGAGCTCGCGGGAACGGTGAAGGAGATTCTCGGAACCTGCGATACGCTGGGCTGCACGGTGAACGGCAAGGACCCCAAGGATTTGCAATAGGAGATCGTCGATTGTGACGTCGAGATCATTCTCGACCGACAAGGGTGTAAATTCAACGAATTTTGCACCAAAAGGGATTTATTCTTCAATCTTCCCAAATTTAGTAGTCCCCTATTGTTCGAAGGAGCAATTAAATTGAAGGGCGAGGCTTTTGGGTTTTGATTTATGGATTTAAAGTGTGAAGGAGATGCAATTGATATTGCTGCTGTGGTGTTTCGGGAAGTGAGAGAGAGAGGAAGAGGACGAGCGGCTTCGTTTTCTTAACTTTTGCTTTTATTTTTATTTAATTTTATTGGGAGTTGATAGAGTTATGTTAGGGTTAAGTCTGTGGACACTGTCAAGTATTGAGACGTGTCATAAAAGAGAGTTTTTTTTTTAGTTGATATTTAGATATTAAGGAGAGAGAGTTCGATTAAGCCATACAATAGCAGTTTAATTTACTATCGAATTCGCAATCTACGAGATTCAACCTAAGACCTCTTACTCCCAAGTGAAGAGGAATACCGTCAAACCATAGTATTGAATGACATAAAAAGACACTAACTTTAATTGTAGAAAATTTGAACCCATCTCTAATTATTAGGATAATTCACCGCTCGCAGATCTTTCATAATAACGTGCGTTTGGTATCAATTTAAATAAAATAGGTTTGTTTTTTTTTTTTTTTTGTCGAAAATAAAATAGTTTAAATTTGAAATTAAATTGACATATCATTGACCCTTTATTTCTTTTTTCTTTTTTCAGATAGTTTTTACTCTAATTTGTTCTTTGTGAATTAATGAAAGTACAAGGACTACATCCGTCTAGTAGCATGGTAGCTTACTTTTTAAATATATGATATTTACTTTATATCTACGCATTTTGAATATATACGGCTAACAACAATGTAAATTGTAATTTCCTAATATAAACATGAATTTTGTTATGTGCGATGCAGGTTATGATGCCCAACTTAACAACTTTGATTGTGCATCAATGTGATAGTTTAATATTCTTGTTTTCAAGTTCTATGGCTAAATGTCTTAGACAACTCAAAATCCTCAAGATATCCAATTGTCAAATCATGGAAGAGATAGTGGGAAATGAGGAGAATACAAATGACATGTTTGATAAGCTATGCCATCTAGAGCTACAACATCTTCCAAACCTCGTTAGATTCAGCTCAGGAAGTTACATTAAATTTCCGTCTTTGGGGTATTTAGATCTAGACGATTGTACTAAACTGGAGACGTTCAACTTTGATGCTAAGAGTGAAAATATTACAACCAACAAAGAAGAAAGAGATATTGAGCTCTTTGATGAAAAGGTGAGTTATAACGTCACTTCTTTTCTTTATGCTTTTATTTCCAACTTATGCATGCATCCCACTCTTGTGAAGAAAGGTTTGTTCACAAGTTCTAAAATGAATATGTGACAGGTAGGATTTCCTAGCTTGGAGATCTTGTGCATATGGGACTTACCTAAGTTGAAGACAATATTCCACAACCAACTTCATTCAGATTCTTTTGGCAAGCTCAAAATTATGGATGTTCGTAGATGCCACAGTTTGATTAATATCTTTGGGCCAAGTATCATGGGAAGATTGAATGCTCTAGAGAGATTACAAATAGAGCAGTGCCAGTCACTACAAGTGGTATATGACTCATCATCTACCACTCAGTTGAGCGGTTTTGTTACAGATGCCGACGAAATCGTTTTGAAGGAAGAAGTTGGTGGACCACCGAGACTTTTCAGTAATGGAGAGGTACTTTCTCTGTTATTTTTCTCCAAGTAGTTTTCTTCTTCGAATTTTGAATTTCTTTTTAAGATTTATTTTGATAACCCACGGTTTTTTTTAAGATTCCTCTTTAAGATATAAGATTTATTTTTTCAATGAGCCAAAACCATTTAAATGATATATTTAAGATATCAGGTTTTGATAACCCACGGTATTCAACTATTGATATATATATATATATATATTTTTTTTTTTTTTTTTTTCTTTTAATATGCGATATTATCTATATTAAAAAGATGAAAAAGTCGACTAAGTCTCATCATGAATTAGTAATAATGTAAATTAAATTCGTTTTTGATGAAAATTGAAATTAAGACTTCTCATTTGCCAATAAGAAAGAATATCAGTATACTATAGTACTAAATAACAACTATTTGTAATAAACTAACAAATTCAAATCTTCTGCATCCATTTATGCATACTTTCTTACAATTTTGCCATCTGTCCATTCACTCAACGAAACCTAACGGCGTTAACTCCCAATAAAATAAAAAAATCGGAGCGTAGCCCAGTGTACTGGTATCTCTCCCATTCCCCTTCCTTCCCAACGCCACCAGTCACCGCCCCCTCCTCACGGACCTCCACCTCTTCAAGTACAGCGGCAGCATCTCCCTTGATGACGTCATCTAGATCGGCAAGGTTATGAGGATCAGATCCATAGCCGAAGGAGCTCACGGGAACGGTGAAGGAGATTCGTGGAACCTGCGACTCGGTGGGCTGCACGGTCGACGGCAAGGACCCCAAGGATTTGCAATAGGATATCGTCGATGGTGACGTCGAGATCTCTCTCGATCGACAAGGGTTCAACGAATTTTGCACCAAAAAGGATTTATTCTTCAATCTTCCAAAATTTGGTCGTCCGTTATAGTTTGAAGGGCGAGGCTTTTGGGTTTGATTGATATTGCTGCTGTTGTGTTTGATTGATATTGCTGCTGTTGTGTTTGCTGTTGTGTTTGATTGATATTGCTGCTGTTGTGTTTGGGGAAGTGAGAGAGGAGGATGGGCGGCTTCTTTTTCTGAACTTTTGCTAGAGTTAGGTTAAGATTAAGTTTGTGGACTAGTGTCAAGTACTGAGACGTGTCATAAAGAGATCACACTTTATTGTATTTTTTATTTTTTTTGTCAAAAGACCACACTTATTTTAAGTACAAAAAATTTGAACCCGACTAATTCATCACTTACCATAAAGATCTTTCACAATAATGTGTTTTTAGGTATCAATTTAAAAATAAAATAGGTTTTTGTTTTGTCGAAAACAAAAAGGTTTAAATTTAAAATTGAATTGACATAATTTTGGCCCTATATATATATATATATATATATATATATATATATATATATTTTTTTTTTCAGATAGTTTTTTTACTCCAATTTGTTCTTTGCTAATTAATGAAGGCACAAGGACATACATCTGTCTAGTAGCCTAGTGGCTTACTTTTTAAATGTATGACATTTACTATGTTGAAGGAAACTAATGAAAAAAGTTTGAAAACTTTGAATTTTAACGATAAAAACAAAATAAAGAGTAAAATGAATAGTACCATAATTGACTTTTTAGTGTAAAAATATGATTTTTCGTTAAAATGATCAGTACTAGTAGTTTTTCGTTAAAATTCTCTTATATCTACGCATTTAGAATATATACAGCTAACGACAATGTAAATTGTAATTTCCTAATATAAACATGAATTTTGTTATGTGCGATGCAGGTTATGATGCCCAACTTAACAACTTTGACTGTGCATCAATGTGATAGTTTAAGATTCTTGTTTTCAAGTTCTATGGCTAAATGTCTTAGACAACTCAAAATCCTCAAGATATCCAATTGTCAAATCATGGAAGAGATAGTGGGAAATGAGGAGAATACAGATGACATGTTTGATAAGCTACACCGTCTAGAGCTACAACATCTTCCAAACCTCGTTAGATTCAGCTCAGGAAGTTACATTAAATTTCCGTCTTTGGGGTATTTAGATCTAGACGATTGTACTAAACTGGAGACATTCATCTTTGATGCTAAGAGTGAAAATATTACAACCAACAAAGAAGAAAGAGATATTGAGCTCTTTGATGAAAAGGTGAGTTATAACGTCACTTCTTTTCTTTATGCTTTTATTTCCAACTTATGCATGCGTCCCACTCTTGTGAAGAAAGGTTTGTTCACAAGTTCTAAAATGAATATGTGACAGGTAGGATTTCCTAGCTTGGAGATCTTGTGCATATGGGACTTACCTAAGTTGAAGACAATATTCCACAACCAACTTCATTCAGATTCTTTTGGCAAGCTCAAAATTATGGATGTTCGTAGATGCCACAGTTTGATTAATATCTTTGGGCCAAGTATCATGGGAAGATTGAATGCTCTAGAGAGATTACAAATAGAGCAGTGCCAGTCACTACAAGTGGTATATGACTCATCATCTACCACTCAGTTGAATGGTTTTGAGTGCCCAAATCTAAATTCAGTTTGGATAGACTCATGTGAGAGTTTGAAAAATGTATTTCTCGCCTCAGTGGCCAAAGATCTTAAGCAACTAAATGAGTTCAGGGTCAAGAATTGTGGTTTAATGGAGGAAATTGTTGTGAAGGAAGAAGGACCACAAATGGCATACGAGGAGTTCGAGTTCCCTAAAGTAACAACTATGATATTTGATAATATGCCCCAACTTCGGAGTTTCTATCCAGGACTGCATGTTTCTAATTGGCCATCACTCAACAAATTGAAGTTCATTAAATGTGGTGGTGTGGAGATTTTTGCTGCTGAATTTTCAACATATCAAGACAAGTTTAAGTTGAGCCACCCAATGCCAAAGGAACAACCTTTCTTTTTAATTGAGAAGGTAACCATACTTGTACACAACTTTTTTGATATTCGAAATTTTATGTAATTTTTACATACTAGTTAAACATGCACCATCAAGTAAATACATTTATTATGTTTTTAATATTAAAGTTATTATGCGTTGTCCAGTTTTTCAAAATATTTTAAAGCATGCTCTTATCGTTGATTATATTTCAGGGTAAGTCATTCCTCAACTTGGAAGTGTTGGTATTGAACGAGAACATGGAGATTTGGTATGAACCGTATGGTCCACTCCCGACAGAGTTTTTGAGCAAATTAAAGACAATTTGTTTTGCTACTTCACATCCCAAGTCAGATGTTTTCTTTGAGAATTTACAGAATATTGAAATGCTTGTTGTGCTCTCTGCTCCTTGGAAAGAATTATTTGTCCACGACCACCAAGGAAGTAGTAGAGGGGAAACACATGAAGTTGAGACCCTCCCACGTGTAAAGGTTTTGCAGCTCAAAGAATTGCCGGAGCTGATTCATCTAGGAATGGAAAACTCCCAACCAGGGGGCCCTGTTTTTCCAAACTTGGAAGTTCTATTTTTGGAAAAATGTGGCAGATTAGAGAATCTAGCTTCAACTTTGATACCCTTTCGGAATCTAAGCTTTTTGGTCATACAGAGTTGTCACGGACTGCAATACTTAATACCTTATTCCGTGGCTAAGAATTTGCAGCAACTCATGAGGTTGGAAGTTGTGTCCTGTCAAAGAATGGTAGAAATAGTAGCGAGCAAGGAAGATGATCCAGAAAATGAGATTACTTTCAGTTGCTTGCAATGTTTGAAGCTTTCTGGTCTACCAAGTTTGCAAGGCTTTTGCAGGGGAAATTGCATTTTCAAAGTCCCATCCTTCAAAACTTTGTTTGTCGAGGACTGCCAGCTGATCGACTTAAAGATTTCTTCTGATGGGTTACTCCAAAGTGATCCAAGACCAGGAAGACTACAAATAGCTAAGTGATTCAGAGGAGAATGATCGTGATCAAACTGTAAGTACTTCATTCACTAATTAAACAACTATTAATTTCACTCTCCAATTTTTCAGCTTTTTCTGAACCTTGAACCGTAAAATTTAGAAGTCTGATTTATTCATCTTATTCATAGTTGTTCAATCAGATTTCATACTGAACAATTTATGTGTTTATTTCGTCAACGAAATATATATTTCTACAGGAGCAGCTGATGATTGCAGATTCAAATGTAGATGTTACAATTGCAGGACTCTCTGCCAAAAAGGAATCCTCATCTTTTGCCTAGCGTGTTAAGGTTTTCCGATTGTGTGCAATTGCGTGTTTGTTCGTTATTTTCCTCTTCCTTTTGTTTTTCCTTTTCAAGGAAGAAATATTAGCCTGGAGAGCAGACTGGAAGGCACTCTGATTTTCCTTGTTACTTGCTCTAACTATTCTCTGTGCAATTTGAGAAGGCACTGAATCATATTCCACGACATGTTATGCTTGTATTGACTTGTGTGTTTCGTCGTAATAGTGTGATTTGTATTTGGAGCTTTATTCGCTATATTTTAGGTTTTGGTGTTTGGAAAATAATGCTTGTGTGATTTCTGTAAACATTGATGCATTTGAAGTGGTGAAGAATTATAAATATTGCATATGTTAGAATAATGGACTAAATCAGAAATGCGCATATAATTCGATTCAATTCATTTCAAATAAGAACCAAACTAGAACTGCACATAAAAAGCATACTAAATTTACCAAATTTGAACAATTTTAAAAATCAATTATTTTTGTTACAAATATTCCATTCGATTCATTTCAACCGAGTGGAATGGTGTTCTAGAATTCATACAACCAACCTCACTTAATAGAAAAAGGCTTTCTTGTTCTTCTTGTTGTTGTTGGTAAACAATTTCTGGAGATATAGTAAAACTGAGGTGCTAAGTTTTAGTATTGCAAAGTTGGGAAAAAGAACCATTTAGGAAGCTTCGGTCTTATTGTGAGGTTTTCTTCATGAAGAATTAAGGTACCATATTGTTAGAGAAACTATTAATTTAAATCATATTTTATAAATTATATTATGTGATTATTGATAATTGAATTATTACTTAAGTGTTAATTAACATAACATACATCTTATTACTTACGTTTGTGAAGTTGAAGTTCGTAGACTTTAAATCAAGGAGAATGCTAGCGGGACTCACACCAAAAGGGGGTCCAGCCGGACTTGCCCAGCACGTGTATTTGACTGTAATTGTTAGTGCTCCTTCAGTTCCACTGTTAATATAACTTAAGAAAATAGTAATTTAAAATTAGAAAACTTCATTTTAATCCTTAAAAAAGATAAGTTTTAGACTATAATCTTGTGTAAGATTAAAATCTAATTTTAGTCCCTAGTACATTTAATCATATCATTTATTAGTTATATTTTGATGTTTTATTTATCTTTTTATTTTTGTTTTAATGTATTAATTACATTTAAATTTAATTTTTATTTCATTCATCATAATATATTTTAATGTCTACATTTAGGCAACTAATTTTTTTATAATATATATTCTGATAATAATTTTGTATGTTCTTCATTTAGGTACATTAATACATTTGAATATTTCGATATATCCATCGGTACAAACATATAGGTACATTGATTCAATATAATGCATTCTGTCACATCCCGGCCCGGGGCGGATCACTTCCTGGGCCCGCTCCACCACCGTAGCACGATATTGTCCGCTTTGGGCTTACCATTCCCTCACGGTTTTGTTTTTGGGAACTCACAAGCAACTTCCCAGTGGGTCACCCGAAGCCAGTAAGCTCCCAAAAGGCCTCGTGCTAGGTAGGGATGAGAATATACATTTAAGGATCGCTCCCCTCCCTAGCCCCTTTCTCGCTTAACTTCGGAGTTCCTACGGAACCCTAAGCCAGTGAGCTCCCAAAAGGCCTCGTGCTAGGTAGGGATGAGAATATACATTTAAGGATCGCTCCCCTGGGCGATGTGGGATGTCACACATTCGGTCAATATAATGCATTCCGTTATGTACATTTTGGTACACACATTTGAGTATTGACTTTTAGGTACATTAATTCAATATATTATATTTTGGTACATACATTTAGGTATGTACATTTTGGTGCATACATTTCGGCATAAACATTTAGTTACATACATTTTGGTATTGACATTTCAATACGTACATTTTGGTACATACATTTTGGTATTGACATTTAGGTACATTAATTAAATATAATACATTTCGGTACATACATTTAGGTTCATTATAATATATGTCGGTACAAATATTTCTGTACAAAAAGTCAATTTTATATATCTCGGCACAATCATTTCTGTACACTTCTGTATTTATATATTTTTGCATCACAAATTTCTTTTAATATTTTCTCATTTACATTCATTTATAATTAAAAAAAAACTAAATATGTGCATATTAATAAAAATTTAATGTGGAGAGATTAAATAAAAATACACATTAAATAACAAAAATTGAATGTAAATTTTGATAAAAGTACACTTCAAGGGATTAAATTAAATATGTAATCTAGCATTAGGTTTTTTTTTTATATATAACTTTAATATTTTGCAAGGACTAATGTTCAAAAACCCTATTTAAAATTATATTTCTCTCCACTTGCTGTTCTTCACCCTTTCATATTCCCGATGAAGCCAGAAGCATTGTAAAAGCCTTACTCTCTTCTCAAAATTTTCAGCTATCCTCTCACACTATGAATCGGTAACCGTGGTTGTCAATTTTCAAATATTCATCGAACTATACCGGGCAAACCCAGGATTTGAATCTGTAAACCCAAGAATTTTGAAACTGACAGAAGTCCGGGGTAAATCTACAATTTGAATTTGTCTCCCTTTGTTTTCCAAAGTTATTAATTTTTCTAAGGGTTTCTCCCTACACCTTTTTTTTTTCCTCAAAATTTTTCCATCGGAAATTTGTGGATGTTAGATACATGTTCTGGAGCCGTGAATAATTGTATATTTTGTGGATTATGAGATAGTGAATTTGGTTGATAAGTTTTTAATGGAGTTTTTATAACTTAGGAGCCATGACCCTTTCATGGTTTGAGAGATGGAATCAGAATTTTTATGCAGATTTCCGGGTTTAATGGGTTGAAAAATCTCACCCTACGTTGTCTCTCACATTTCTCAATACGATAACTAATACATCCATTTTCTTACCTAGGAAGTCGGAAATGCCTGCCAGAATGAGTCCTCATTTAGTCTTTTTCAATTGCATACTACATTGGGCTTCTCTATCGTACCACGTTCGTTGTCACATTTCTCAATACGTCTACTAATACAGCCATTTTGCTTACCTTACTCTTTTTAATTGCATACAACGTTGGGCTTCTCTATCCTACCACGTTCTCTCTCTCGTGCATTCATTGTCTCATCTTCTTCTGCTAAGAGAGCTTTTCTTCCCATCCCTTTCTCATTATTTGCTCCATCTTCTAATTACACACACTTGTCTCGTTTTGGTTTCTTCATCACAGCAACCTTCTTCAGCTTAATCTACTTTGCTTTACTTCTAAAAGTGAAAAATCAATTTCGTTGCTTTCCTGTGTTTACTGATTTCATTTTCTGCCAATTTCAACTTCTTGTCGCTCGGTTTTACTTGAAAAGAAAAAAAAAAGGTATACATATTATGTTCAGCTTCATTTACCAACCGATTGTGTTTCGGGGTTATGTAAGCAACGGAATATAGAGAGATAAGGTATATGGTACGTCCTTTGATTTTTCCTTGTTTTTATTCCATTCCTCTGCTCTTTATGGGTTTTTTAGCTGTCTGTGCGGATTTGCCTGTTTTGTTTAACCTAAATTATTTCTTTATCAGTCAAGTTGAGATTCAAGTCGAACAACTATCAAGTCTAAGTCGTATACATTGGCTATGATATTGATAGCGTGCTACGGTGAATGTTGATGGGAAAGTCAACCCTTTGGAACCCTAAAATCTTTAATCTAAAGTCGACAAACTTCAGGTTCACAAATGTAAGTTTATGCAAGTCACAAAAAGCACCAACAATAACATATTTAAAATAGAAAACTGCATTTTAGTTCTTAAAAAATATGACTTTTAAAGTAAATTCTAGCTTAAGATTAAAATCTGATTTAGTCCCTTAATACATTTAATAACCTCATAATTACATTTTCATGTTTATTTTTCCTAATGTTAATATTAACTACATTTAATTATATTCTTTTTTGAATAGAATATGACAGCTTTTATTCATAAACTCAAGGGAGTAACATATCTTGGTTGAGAACTTCCCAAACAACATCTGCGGGTTCCTCAAACCAAACTACATCAGAACAATTACGTAAACTTAACTTAGCAAGGCCGAGTGCCACTCCATTATAAGAACAAGGAATAATATCCCAATAACATCTGGGGGTTCCACAAATAATATTCTGATATTTTATTTTGTTACAGACAGGTAAACTAATTTCATTTATATAATATCCCAATACACTTCATGTTATTCATTTACGTATATTAATACATTTTGGTATGTGCATTTCGATGGAGGCATTTAAGTACATTAATTCAATATAATATCATTTAGCACAAACATTTTCGTACAAACATTTAGGTACATTAATTCATTATAATATATTTCGGTACAGACATTTAGGTCAGGGACAAAACTAGATTTCTTCTAGTGGGGGCAACTTGAAAAACAACTAAGAAGACCTTATTATAGTATGGCTTATACCAAATATGATATTGGAGATGATTTCATATGACGATGTATCACAATTGCAATGTTATAAAAATTTAGTACTAGTTGAAAATGGCAAATTGATGAGAAAAATATTAATGCATAACAGGTGGATGAGGAGTTTTTCGGTTTGAATGACAGAACAAGAGCACTTTTGCTCATATTATATTTGATATAGAGTAGAAGTAGTATGGTATGCTTGATATTAGACACATATATTTTCTTCAAAGATAACACATGGATATATATATATATATATATATATAACTGCAGTATGCAGCTTAACCAACAAATTACTTGAGTAAGGGCATCTACCCCTAATGAGCCTTCATTGGCTCCATCCATGATTTAGGTACATCAATTCATTAATTTTAAAAATATTTTTGGTACACTTATGTATTTACATGTTTCTTAATTATGTATCCGTTTTTTTTTTTTTTTTTTTTGTAATGGTTTCTCATTTGGGTACATTATAAGGATATAATTGGAGCAAGTTAAACAAAATTAATAAATTAAAATGTGTATATTAATAAATTCAAATATTTGATAGGAGACAATGAATATTATACACATCGAATATTAAAACAAAACAAAATATGAAATGGAAATTGAATTAAGGGAGACTTGGATCCAGTCCCTAGTCACTGACACTCTTTGTCTAAAACCTTAATTGTATTCAAATTTTTATCAAAGTCCCTTAACTTGGTACACCTCATGAAATTACTATTAATTTGTAATATTTCTATATGTTTGACATTAATTATTTGACATTTTATGATATTTATAATTGCAT